TTTTCTAGGGATTATAGCAATTTCTAAAATGAATCAAGCTGTTCATGCTAAATCTCTTAAGTTAAACAATTCTATAATTAACAAAGCTGAACGATTCTCCTAAGCAAATCGATGCTGTAGATATGAAACATTAATCAGACTTTACTTAATATGTTTATATATAAATAAAATATAAATAATATATCCWCTTATAGCTGAGAAACTCTTGGATATGGGATAGCTATGTAATACATATGTATCATAACAATCTGAGCTAACTAATCTATCTATGAAAACTATCATGAAGTTGGGTTCAGCTCTTAAGCTTTGCGTTGAAAGTAAGTAAATGGTTGATAGATGATGAGAAACATATAGATAATAATTATTATATTAATCTAAGCTACACTATTATATAGTGATAGAGTTTTGATTAATAACTATTTATTTATTATTTATTCAATATCCAGCATAATTTTTCCAAAATCTTAAATTAATATATAGAAGGTATTATTTACAGAATTCAGAATATAATATATAGTAATATAGTGTACTATACGATTATCTTTTTAAGCTTGTATGTATGTAAAAATAAAATAAGCATTTAATTAGAATTTTAGCACAAAGGCATTCCAYTGTCATTTAATATATTATTTAATACATATACTTATAAGAAAAAATACTAAAAAATCAGACATTAAAAAAATCGCATTTCGATGACTCTCCAGCTGCTTTTAACTACCTCATAAATATATTTGCCTTTGTGGGGGGCTTGTTTCTGCATAATTTCATTTGGAAATATTGGGCGAGCACATTTTAAACATTTACAACGAATTTGGCAATAGATTGTGATAGTCTAGTCTGTTCGTACATTACCTTTTCCAGTTCGAATTCACGAATTTTGTGTATATGCCCTCGTGGTCTCTTCGACATTGTGACTGCAGTTCGTTCACATGGGTTGTATTGGTTATTGTATTGCGAATGTTTTTGGAGTGTCCCGGTCGGATATATGTAGTTAGTGGACCATTAGTTTTTGCTGAGACTTGTATAGTAGACATACACTAGACAACAAAATAGAGAAACGATGCTCGAGTTAAATTTGCTTTTATTTGTTTGGTGCGCTTTTGGTTTTCCGTATTAACAGCCGCAGCAGCGCGTTGTAAATATTTATAGCGGCTGCACAAAGGCAATCAGAGTACATATAGACCAGCCCAAATATACATATATACACATATATATGTACATAAATTCATATACATATATGTATCTTTGTCGGCCTATTTGTATCTTTGTGCATGGGCTGAGCGTGTTTAAAAAAATGCAGAAGATAAATTTCTGGCGATGCTTTGGTTGTTCGGCACTTCCTGGAAAATCGGCGCCAAATTGCATTTTTTTATTAATTAATTACACTTAACAATATATTTACTTAAAGCTATGTATACTATATATAGTACACTTGTAGCTCACATTAGCTGCCAATCGGCTTAAGTTCAATGTTATTTCGTTGCTGATATATATAGTTTTAGCTGTTGTGCTATTGTTGTTGTAGTTGTTGTCAAACAAATATTTAATTGAACCGTCTACACGAACACACACGCACACATGCACTCACACACACTCGGCTCGGTCTCTTACAGTTGCAAATAGAAATGTATTTTGTTTAGTTGCCTAGGATTTTGGTTTTTGTGAAATTCGTCTCGTTTCTTTTCTATTCTTTTGCCTACACATTTGCATATTATCAACAGCGAAATTAAAAATAATGCTCGTTGCCTCTTATATAAAATAACATAAACCGACAGTTCAGCAAAACACACATACATATGCATAAATATACATGAATCTATATCATTTGTTAAGCATTTCATTCACTAGATCATCATTGATTAACTGTTATTGGGAACTTCATTTGAAATTGATGAAGTTTTCTTCTCTCTTGATCTTTTTATTGAGTAAGTTCGTTGCACGGATCACAATGCGTTTTCTTTTGCTTTCTTTGGTAGTCTTTCTTTTCAGTTCTGCATTTTCCGTGGCCGCATTCGATGAAAACCCGTTGCCAACTGCTCTCCGAGTCGCGACTCTCGCGGCTTTTGTCGCTGGCCAGCAAAATGTATTGAAAATGTTTAAAAAAAGACATTTTGTTTATGCCGTTTTCACTTGAATTCTAGGCGTGCGAGCATTTTCGAAATAATTTTCAGTTTTTTCGAAACATTCTTGAGCTTTGCGAGAGCAAAGCATTAATAGTAGTTCTCATGCCGCATTTATTGCTGCTCATGTATATATGTATGTGTTGATCGCTGATCGTTGATCTTTCACGACTTTTGATCAAATCGTAAATTGCACATACATAGGTAGACAAATATTTGTGTTTGCTTTTGTCAATATTTATAATCTGTTTATTTATTTACATTATTTCTCTGTAAAAACAGAAAAGCCTTTATAGTCATGCCGAGCCATTAAAATAATGCTAATTAATTCAAAACATCTCATTCTAATACAATTTCTGTTAGTTAACAGTGGCAGAGCACTGCAAAAGAGCTGCTTAACAGAGCACTGTTAAAAAGCTCAGCATCTGGCGGGCACAAGCTTCACGGCTAACATATAGCATGTTAAGCTCACAGTATATGTACACTAGCACATGCAAGCTTCATATACACACTCACACACACATATATACATATAACTGCGTACATACGCACAAAGGCAACTCTAATTGGTCACTTCCGTTTTGAAGACGTTTCCTTGGCGCATGCGACGTTCAACTTCAGCAGTTGCTGCGTTTGACACGCACACACACACATACACATACACTTGTAGCTCTATGTGTGTGTGGCTGTGTCAGTGTGGGGAGGGTGCAGGTGCAGCCAACCACTTGTCGCAGGCTATAAAAGTCACTGGCATAGAGCACTTGCCTGCATACGTTTGAATGTTACCGTTAGCGCAACAACTGATTCAGCTGCTGTTGCCCAATTCCTAGTTCAGTGAGCTACATACATTAAATAGGTTAGCAGTTCTACGGACAGTGCAAAAATATGTGTGGTTGTTAAAGAGTCAAAAGTAGAGAGTTCGGTATTTTGTGGCGCTTTTCATTAGCATTTTCTGCATAGTTTCTTTGTGAATTTGAGAATTGTTGAAAAATATGGATTGGCAAAAGTGTGTGATTTAAGCATTTGGAAACTAGCAGGTATGTATGAATTTGACGTGCTTAAGTTAATAACTGTAATCAATTTTGATAGATAAATTTTGTTGGAATTAAGTTTATGACAAAGGAAATAATAACTCTCAAAAAAAATATACTGAACATTAGCGAATTTATGAATATATATTAAACAAAGCGAATGACCTAAAACATTTAAGATTTATGTATTTACACCCTCACAATTTTTTTCCTATGCTCAAATCTAATAATTTATAAATACTTGTATAGGTTTAAATATTTATGATTATTATATTATGATTATTATATTCAAATTTAAATTTATTTTCTTAATGATCATTTTATATACTCATTCTCCACTGTTAATTTATTTTCTAGCAACATTTTTGCAGTTTTGTATGGATGGCAATTAAATTTGCAAAAGAAACAAACATATTTTATTAAAAATTTTATATTACCTTAAAATAAAAAACAATATAGTGCTATTTACCGATTCCTTTCAGAATGATTTATTAACAGCAGCAAAAAATATATTTACTAAAATATCACCATTACCAAGCGTTAATTCAGTGCTTAAAATTATTTGCAAATGAAACGCATATTTATGAACAAAAATTGTTAAACAGAAAAAGAAAAATGCAATTAATTAAATATACTTTGTGCAGTCATGCATTGACGTGTCAGAAAACTTGTAAGACTTATAAAAGTGCCAACAACTTATAATTCATTTTATTAAATTAATGAAGAAACCTATTACATATTTATCAAACATCATTATTATCTGTTAATATTATGTGCGATGAATGATTTTAATGGCTGGGTTATACAATGTAGATTTAAACCAGGAAATTGGAGAAATCTTATAATTTTTGCATTTATTTTTAGAATGGAAAATAATATTTATTTTAATTTATATTTTTTGCTATTCTATTTAACATAGTTCATAATAAGTCTCACATATCTAAGCGGGTCAAGAATTACATTGAAGTAAATCAAGTCCTCAACTCTTATAATGAAACAGCAGCAACTGAGATTTGGAGATCTTCAAAGCTCCAGCCGAGCTAATTCTTTTAATTGAATCGTGCGACTTGCTCGCTTTCAATTGAGCCCAGCTCTCGGTATTAAATTAAGCTAATGCGCGAACATTTAATTGGAGCAATTAATTATGCTAAGAGTTGAAAGAGAACAAACACACACAAGCACACATGTATGCTATGTATATGTGCATGTGTTTATATATAGATCAAATATGGTGTGTAACATGCTTGAGCACAATGAGAGTAAACTGAGATTTGTCGATGGGCCAAGCGATGCTTTATGTGCGAATCGTTTGGTTTTGTGCTGTAATTGTCAAGTGTTTGTGTGTGCGGCGGCCACACGTCGTATGCGTAATATACGAACAAGCACTTGAAGCTCGGGCTAGAGAGCATGTCGTGGCCAAACAGAATTCAAGTGCTATGGACATTTCACCAACACACACACACACACACACACACACACATACAGAGAGACACTCTGAGCTCAATTGAGCATCAAGTGTCGGCTTAAACACTCAAGCAGCGCATCGAAATTGTCGTATGCCACAAACATGCGAAACATATTTTCAATATGTGGCAAAAGGTGAAAGCCATGATTGAGGTTTAATCTAGCATTTGCAATTAATGTGTAATCCAGCTAATTTTACCAAATGCATTTATTATTCTCTCTCTCTCTCTCTCTCTCTGTCTCTATCTCTCTTTGTGATTTAGAGCTGGCGGGCGACGGCGACGGCGAGGGCTAAACTAAAACGACGACGACGTTTTGGCCAGGGATTAGGACATCGTCGCAACGGCGATGTCACCGACCGGACAAATAGCAAAGACGCCCACGCCACACGACAACGATAACAATAGCAATAACGATCAGCGTGAAACATGGAGCGGCAAGGTGGATTTTTTATTATCGGTTATTGGATTCGCCGTCGATTTAGCAAACGTCTGGAGATTTCCCTATTTGTGCTACAAAAATGGCGGTGGTAAGTGCTGGACGACTAGCTCAAATCATTTTATCTGGGCGAGAGTTCACTTAAACCCAACAACTGCCAACGGTTGTCCCTTTGGCCAATTAGCGACACACTCACACACACACACACATACAGTTTAACGGCTGAACAATGCCACAAAATCATTTATAAGGCTTTACACATCATTGAGCGGCAAGGAACTCACTCGAGCTGCTCAGCTGCCGCATAACAAGTGACTTGGCCTTGTTAACACTTTGACAAGTGCTGGGAAAATGCGTGCGAAGTGCTGCCATTAAATGTGGGCTACTCTCGGCTTGGGCGTGTGCTTGGTGGTTGGGGTGCTAAGTGCGTACTTCCTAGACGAAATTACCCAGAGTCCAAGGCATATAGAAGTAGAAGGAGAAGGGGCAAGAGAGAGGGAGAGGGAGAGGCAGAGTCGGAGCGAGAGCGAGGGCATAAGTTGATACATATGCTTAGACTTGTGATCTTCGCTGGCAACGCCATCATTCAAAACAATTTCAAAGCTAAGTGCTTTTGTATGACAACTAAATCTGGCAGTCATAATCGCATTTGGGCTCCTTCACCTCCTTTGCCGCAATCTGACAGCGAGTGACTAAGCATGGGGCAGGACATGCTTTCCAGGGCTTTTATTGTTGCCGACACACACACACGCACATACACATACATGTATGTATCAAGCACATCAAAATCAAGTCATATATATGTATATATGTATGTGTATATATCATAATACGCATTGTTGGAAATTCATGTGCGGCACACGTTTTGACGGCGGCACTTAGGCGTTGAAATGAATTTTCCATTCGTAAATCAGGATATATGTGGTCTGTATGAGTGTGTGCGTGTGTGTGTGTGTGTGCGAATGCCTTTGCTGGTTGCCTTTTCCTTTATAGTTTTATGACTATTTCATATAGTATTTTGTTGTCGTTGCTGCTGCGCTGGCCTTTGCCACAAGCTTTTTTCTCAGCTCTTAAAAAATAAATTGTTATTTCATACGCTTCATTGCACTCAATCAGTGACAGCTTAGTTTTCATTTTCATTTTATATCATTTTTGTTGCCTTTGCCGTTGCCAGGCTTAACTTGCCATCGCCGCCGTCGTCGTCGACGTTGCAGCAGCAGCAGCAGCAGCAGCAGCAGCAGCGACAGCATCGACGTCCACAGGTTGCGATTATTAGCTTTTAATGCCCTACCAGCTTAGTGGGCATTTAATTTTTCCTCTCCTTTTTCAGCTGAGCAACAGATGAAATACCTCCACTCTATGTAGTTGGCCCTGTGCTGACATACATACATTAAATATACATACAGACAGTGTCATATAATCTTTGTGGAGCAGAAGAACTTGTGGTTTGTTAAATACGTTTCTTAGTTTGAGTTGTTTTTGCAAGAGAATTAAATCAAGAATTTTAATAAATTTTTTATGATTTTCTTAGTTTGCTGTTGTTTTACTATACTTCATCAATATCATGATAATTTTTACGCTAATTATTATTAATTAATATGAATATTATTTAATATATGTGTAGGTACTACATATAGTAAAACACACATAAAAAAAAAATCCTTATATAAAGTAACTATTCAATCACGAATCCACTCTAAAAGAAATTTTAGTAGAGTCAAAATTAAATTACTTATAAGAGCGCCTCAATCTGGGACACAGGTTTATTTATAAGATTCTCATATAAAATTCAAGTAAGTAGGTATTGACAGCCATCTCAGACATTCCTTCAAGAGGGACTACGAACATGGAGCACTCTATGCTCAACGTCAACATGATCTGGTATTGAGACATACGATAAACACTTGTACTTGTGCTTGGCAACTTACATACATTATAATATACGAATTTTATATTGAAAGTGTCGCTCTTCGAAACGAAAAATAGTTCAGCACAGACCGAGTCATCTTATTCTCTCTGTCTCTTAGTTCAGTTCACCATATTGTAGGTCAACTATTTGGGCTTTCCTGCCGCTCTGAGCATATTAGTTAAAGAGAGCAGCTCAGCGCAAACTCTTCTAAATAAATATTTTTAATAGTAGTATTACTATAAATTATTATTAGTATTTATCAATTATTATTAGTATTTATTAATTTGTTACATTTTTGTATTGTTCGAAAAAGAGTCGTGTTGATTCGTTAATTATTTCATTTCTTACACTCAATCCGAAATTTATTTAAATTTGTTGTTCTATTTGGATTCGATCTTTTTCTAATCGTATAAATATTTAAAAACCTGAATTTATTAAAATGAAGTAAATATTTCAATTATAAATAATGCAATAATATTGAAAATATATAGTTATAATAATACAAAACAAATTTACCCAAACCATTTGCTGTTATGACTGTGAATTTTGCATTTTAAAAAAATATTTATAAATCAAATCAATTTACTCATATTTTTAAATGCAAAAATCATAAAAAAGTCACTCAATAATTGTAATTGTGAGTCAATAATGTGAAGTCATAATGTTTGCTCTTTTCAACTTCAATAGATTGATATTTCTATTTAGCAAACGCTCTTTAATTGTAAGTTTATTAGGGTAATCAATTTAGTACGCTTCTTTGTGCTAAAAATAGCCATGGGAAAACCGGAAGTGGTGGGCGAGGCGACGGAAATTACAGCTTCAACAGCAGAGCAATAGAGCAACAGAGCAGCAGAGCTGCATTTGATTTTAAGATCCTTATCTTGTGAGGTATTATTTTACGTTTTGTTTTACATTTTCTACATAATTGACAGCACAGTGTTCAAGCGACTTTCGTTTATTTTTTTTGTTTTAGCTATACAGACATAGATGTATGTGTGTGTGTGTGTGGGTGTGGGTGTGTGCGAATATGCATAATGGCCGTTGTTGGCGTAGCCGTCGTAGTTGTCGACGACTTTGTCGCCCACTTTGCCTGCTAATAGACATAATCAAATCATAAAACGCCCCGCTGTCACTCAACAAAGTATCGATGGCACTTTAGCAATTGCCCGGGCAGGCGGAGCAGGCAGAGCAGGCGGAGCAGGAAGCCAACCGACCACGTCGACTGCATGAGACAGCCAAGCCGAGCCGTAGCCGGAGCAGACCAGACCAGGCCAGAACAGAATACAGCAAAGTGGAGTGGTGTCGAAAGGAGAGACATCTCTCTCTTTGTATGTGTGTGTGTGTATGTGTGTGACCATGTCCTTATGTACGTACGTGTGTATGCTTGTCCCATTGCCAGCCGGGATGCTGTTAATGTTTTTAAAATGTCCTTAGAGTGGCACTTGTGAAACAATTTGATTTTGTGTGTATCTGTGTGCTGGTGTGTGTGTGTGTAGAGCGACAGAAACAGACACTGACACGGGTCAATCACACACTCATACTCTTTCCCACACACACACACATAGACACACCCATCATACACATTGTTATTCATAATATTTATAGTGCCTCGGGTGTTGTTAAATATTATAAAACTCGATTGCGCTTTAATCAATGCGGCGCTGCCCAATCGAACTTGGTTGCTGGCAAATTCAGTTTGCTAGCTAATGATTGTTGAATAATTGAACTTGAGAGAGGTCGGATATGTGAAATATGATATTATAATGGAATTATTATTATGGATGTTAAGTGTGGAATTATCTGTTATATATTACAGATAGATAATAATATATATAATAGATAAACGATTTATGATTTATATAAGGTATTAATATTCTTAATGTGGACAATCGGCTGTATGTATGCTGATGTATGTTTGTTTGTCCATCTGTCTGTCTCTTTATTGGCCTTTCTGATTATTTTTGAGCTCCCATAGCCAATATTGATCGTGCATCTCAAAGGCAAGAGGATAAAGTGCAGTTAAGGCTAAGAAGACGAGCAGAGGTAGATTAGTTGAGGTGTGAAAAAAGTAAACTAGAAAAGAGTTAATTAGAGTGCTTGAAGCAGCTAGAGCTATTCCCTAAAAATCGAATCTGAAAACTAACTCAGAGCGAGGCTCTAGAGCAGAGCTCGGTTTTGACTCTCGCCCTATATAGAGGCTGCCTACTAAGCTACAGTCGGTAAGTTCTCAGTGCTGAAGTATGTGATAGTAATATTTAATGATAGTTAGTAGCGAGCTAATGATGATGAGTTTTAGTATTATAATATACACAATAATTATTATTATCATATTAATTAGCATTGAGTAGAATCTTATTAATTATATTCATATATTCAATGTGATAGGTGTTATATAATACCGATAATCATCATGGTGGCATCATCATCATGACAATCACGAGAATCATAAATAAATTAAGTGTTTGTCTGCCACCTCAAAACATATTGCAGCTCTTCAATGCGACGAGGTATCTCATAGCTGGGCATGCCTGCAAGCTGCACTCTGCATATTGCAATGACAATAAAGACTCTACATTAATTAAATATATTGGAATCAACTAGGAAGCATAATTGCATTAGCACCAGATTTATGCCTAGATGGGCATAACGAGAAGTTACACAAAAAGAATATTTGTTTAATACAATATTATTATATGTATATATCCTGTCTTAATCTTATATATACACTGTTTTAATCTATTAAATATATTTATATATTATAATATTCAGTTTATAATTATTTTGCATAAATTTGACAGGCGCCTTTCTAGTGCCCTACTGCATTATGCTGATTGTGGGTGGAATACCGCTCTTCTACATGGAGCTCGCCCTGGGACAGCACAATCGTAAGGGCGCCATCACATGCTGGGGCCGTTTGGTGCCGCTGTTCAAGGGTAATTATACAGGACTCAGTATATACCAAAGATCTTCTCGTGCTACATCATAGACTCCATATTCCTCAGGCATTGGCTATGCAGTGGTGCTGATTGCCTTCTATGTGGACTTCTACTACAACGTGATCATCGCGTGGTCGCTGCGCTTCTTCTTCGCCTCGTTCACCAACGTGCTGCCCTGGACATCGTGCAACAACATATGGAACACGCCCAACTGCAAGCCGGTAAAGTCCCTTGAATAGAGCTTCATTTCACCTTATTCACCTTGATGCGTGTATCACAGTTCGAGGGCCAGAATACGCGCCCTTTGGTTGGCAATCTGAGCGATTTCTATGCCTTCAACAATCAGAGTTTGTTCTTTGCCAACGAGTCGTATACGAATGTTACCTTTGCCAGCCTGGCACCCGTTCTGCCCGTCGAGCGATTCCAATCGGCTGCCTCCGAGTACTTTAAGTGAGTGGCACACACACACACGCGCGCACACACACACACACACACACATCTGCACACACTTATTCTGCACTTTCATTCTCAGCCGCTACATACTCGAGCTGAATCAGAGCGAGGGCATTCACGATCTGGGCAAGATACGCTGGGACATGGCCCTGTGCCTGCTCATCGTCTATCTCATCTGCTACTTCTCTCTGTGGAAGGGCATCAGCACCTCCGGCAAGGTGGTCTGGTTCACGGCGCTCTTTCCGTATGTGGTGCTACTCATACTGCTGATACGCGGCATCACCTTGCCGGGCTCTGCCAAGGGCATTCAGTATTACCTGAGCCCCAACTTTGATGCCATCTACAAGGCGGAGGTGTGGGTGGATGCTGCCACCCAGGTGTTCTTCTCCTTGGGTCCTGGATTCGGTGTGCTGCTCGCCTATGCATCCTATAATAAATATCACAATAATGTGTACAAGTAAGTGCTACGCTTCTGCTTCTTCCCCTTCTTCCTCTCATTTCTTATCGGATCTTCGTCTGTCGCAGGGATGCACTGCTCACCAGTTTCATCAACTCTGCAACGAGCTTCGTCGCCGGCTTCGTGATATTCTCCGTGCTGGGCTACATGGCGCACACGTCGGGCGTGCGAATCGAGGATGTGGCCACGGAGGGGCCAGGCCTGGTCTTTGTCGTCTATCCGGCTGCAATTGCCACCATGCCGGGCAGCATCTTTTGGGCGCTCATCTTCTTCATGATGCTGCTCACGCTGGGACTGGACAGCTCGGTGAGTGCTCAACTTCCCTCAAAGATTTAACAGAGAAATGTTGACTAAGTTTTCTCCCTTGCCAACAGTTTGGCGGCTCGGAGGCCATTATCACCGCCTTGAGCGACGAGTTCCCCAAGATCAGGAAGAACCGGGAGCTCTTTGTGGCCGCACTGTTCTCGCTGTACTTTGTGGTGGGTCTGGCCAGCTGCACTCAGGGCGGCTTCTATTTCTTCCACTTGCTGGATCGCTATGCCGCCGGCTACTCCATACTCGTGGCGGTGTTCTTCGAGGCGATTGCCGTCTCCTGGATCTATGGCACGAAACGCTTCAGCGATGACATACGTGACATGATCGGCTTTCCGCCGGGCATGTATTGGCAGGTGTGCTGGCGCTTTGTGGCGCCCATTTTCCTGCTCTTCATAACGGTGTACGGCCTGCTGGGCTACGAGCCGCTGACCTACGGCGACTACGTCTACCCGGACTGGGCCAATGCACTCGGCTGGAGCATAGCCGGCTCCTCGGTCACAATGATACCGGCCGTGGCCATCTACAAGCTGATTGTAACACCGGGCAGCTTCAGGCAGCGACTGCGCACCCTCACCACCCCGTGGCGGGATCAGCAGCTGGCGGTGAATGGCGTTGCCACCGAGGTGACAGTGACCCTGGTCCGCCTGGCCGACACCGAGGCGAACGATGCGGCCGACGTCTGAGCTCGACCCACGGCACGTTTTCAGATATACTACGTGTAGAGCATTTGGAAATTTACCAACAACTTCAAGATTAGTATTAACCCTAGCCTGAATGTGTGTGAATCAATGTATGTGTGTTATTGCAGTAGCGGCAGCTAGAATTGATTTAATTTACACTTTCGGCTTAGCTCTTAGGCAGTCTAATGCACTAGGAATCTAATGCAAATTTCGCATACAACGTACTTACTTAGGTTTCGACACCAAACAATGTTGTAGCTCAAAACCATAAGCCTACAGTTAAGACTAGCCAGTAGTTTCGTATTGCGCTGTATTCACAGTGGCGCCAATAAATACACACACACTACTCACGCATACACCTGTACACACATATATATTATGCATACTGTATGAAAGTATGTTTGTATATTCACCAAAACGCTGTGTAGATAATACAGAAGAAATATTTAAGTAGACAGTTGTAATGTTGTTCGAATGTATGTATGTATGTAATGGTGTGCACATGCCACAGGGAATTAAAGGTACGATTAGCAGCTCACAGGACCCTTAACTGGATGTCAGAGTTCGTATACACACATAAATAGCTTTATTATATAGTCTGTGTCTGTGTAGCCGAAGCAGGCAAAGCAATCAATAGCTTATGCCACATAATTGATACAAATATATATATACATATACATATATATACACATATATGAGTCCCTGCCAAATAATTTATACGCTTAACGGTCGAGCAAAGTCCTTTTCACACAGCCATAAAAGGATTTTGCTCAACTCCTAGTATTTACATATAAAAATATACTGAATCTGTTTGTTGTTGCGTTGAGTCACTCTCTGTTTGACTTCGTCAACCTCGTCTAATCCCTAAGTGTTACCTTTGATAATGTTTACACAAAAGCAAAGTCGCCAGCCATCGACCTTGCTTTGACTCTTTACCGCTTAAGTTGGATCCAGGTGATTCGCATTGCATTTCCACGCAGCCATGTGGGAGTGCAATGGGTTGCACTAGTATCGCATTACCAAACTAATTTTACTCAGTTCACTTCAATTAAATAAATATGTATTTTAAGTTGATATTTAAATACTAAGCTGTGTTTGTGTGTTGGAATGGAAATGAAGAAAGGTGGGTACTACATTTATTAAATTTCTCTTGAATAGAATTGTCGGAATAAGAAGAGATTTATTGCTGTGCGATTTCTTGTTTTTATCTATGTGGAGCTGTGGAGCATGGACTTCGAACTTTATCCAAGCTAGCTACAAAATGTTTATAGCATTTACTAACATCAAGTAAGATTGCTCTATTCCCATTATTTTGGTCTAAACATTAACAGCAGTAACTAATTCACAAGAAGACTCTGTAAACTGTGACTGTAATATTATATTTTCTTCGATTATTTTTATTATAATTATTTTTTATTGTTGTTTAATTTTCTTGGCTTTGCTTACTGTTTAAGTGATTTGCAATGTATCCCTTATGAGGTGGGTTTGCATAATACAATTTTTCTCCAATTGTACAGTAGCTTAACAGTGAACCGCCTGTTAAACTTGTCGATGTTAACTTTCTAACTCTGGAAAAGCTATGAAAACAGACCTAACATGATTGAATTCAACATACTCTGTTCACTATGTGTATGAGTATGGAAGATTGGCTTATCAACATATTCAGCTTCCAGGCTACTCTACTATGCAATCTTCTCTGCCATCTAGGCTACTCTTCTATGGTGTCTACTCCATACAGTGTACTTCTCTGTTCAGTCTACTCTGCTACTTAGTCTAATTGGCTGTACAGCCTACTGTTCCTTCTATCTATCTAGTGTACTCATCAATGCAGCTCACTTATATATTCATTCTGTTATGCTACTCCATTCCATTCATTCCATTTCAATCCAGCTTACTCTTTAGCTCTGGCATAGACTGTCTCTTATCATTCAGCATTCCCTGATTTTTAGCATTTTAATGAGAACTTTAATAATGTTTGTTTAAATATAAAAATAAAATATATAAAATTTAGCAATTATATGATATATTCATCGCATCATCTGTTGCTTACAATTTTTACTACTAAAATTTCATTGCATTTTCCCAAAATCCAGAGGAAATTATTTATTTGCATAATTAAGGGCATTTTATTATTGTTATTATTATTTCATAATTTATTTACGCTTAATTTTCTTTTACATATATAAAGTTATATAATATTTGTTTGTTTCTTTTCTTTAAATATAAAATTGCAAATCAATTAGAAAATTTATATAAATAACAAAATGTTAATGGGTTGAACATGAGATTAATCATTTAAACGAAATGCGAACGTTATGTAATATGAGAATTAATGGGTTTTATTTTTATAATATTTCTTTTCTTTTTTTTTTTTTGTGGTAAAGCTAATTGGCTTGAATTAATGGAAATGTTTCTGTTTGAATAAGCTGCGTAATTTAGTATTTTCTATTTTTTGTGCATTTTTTTTGCCAATGGACTTGCATTTAATTAAGTGTGCATCCGATAATACTTATGCATGTGTGGGGTGTAAGTGTGTGTGTGAGTTATATGTATGTGTGTATGCTATGTATGTATGTCATGTCAATGTGTGTATGTATATTGTATACAATATATTCCAGGTATAATTTTGTATTTGTTGAGTATTTATTTGGAATTTGTCTTATGCCCTTGCAGAGTATTTGGTATTTTTTTGATATTTAATTTAAACATATATTTATAAAAATTTACCTTAAATTCTTAATATAAATTAAAATAAAATTTAAAAAATTCTAAATCCAATCCCTCTGCAAGGGCATTTAATATTCGGTATGCCGAACATCAATTTCTGCTTTTAAAAAATATTTTGCATTTATTTTCTGCATTAAACGGCAAATGATTTAATGTCAGGACAATTATTTATTAATAAATTTATTTTTATGTTTGTTTTTGTGCATTTTGTATTCATATTTTATTTGTAGTGCATTTTACGTATTTTTGGTCTGTTTTAGGTGCCTTGAGGGGGGAAATTAGGTACACATTCCACAGGAGTGAACAACGAACGAACGAGAATTTTAGCTTCTTCTTTATGTATGTATGTATATATATTTTGGTATATATATATACATATATGTTATAGAAACTATGAATTGGAAATGCCTGAATGTGCTCGATTTAATATACATTTGTATATATTAATATATGTATATATATTTAATTTGTAATATGGTATACTGTAGTATATTTTGTGTTCAGTTTATTTATTTTTTCTTGTAAATATGCTTGAAGCTTGCTATAATATCTGATCGTTCAGTTAGCATTTTTGTTTTTCGTTGGTTTTTCCTTAATTCTTGCTTGTAAATTTGCCATCTACTTAAATAAGTTTGTTGGTTGTTTAACTGCGTGTTATTTGATTATTCAAATACCAATGCGAAATTATAGTAGCTTAACACGGACTATTTTTACTGTGAATCAACTAAAAAAGGCAGCAAAGGACGGACAATGATGTTGGATCTTGGAGATGAACTTGAGGTATGCCACAGCGAGATACCCTATAAAGCTGAACATTTAATTATCTTGAAATCTATGATGAACGCTTAGGAAAGTTTTTAATATTAGCAAAATTCATTGTGACGTAATTTTTGTACATATATGAGTACATTTTATGTCATATATCGTATACATTTTACATTTACATTCTATGTCATGTATCCTCCATTGAGAAATCTGTATAGAATTTTGATAGGTCTCAATCTTCTAGCTAAAAACCAAATCCCATCAATTGTAAATCATTTTGTGCATCAAGGTTGTCCTTTTATAGGGTACCACTCCACTCGACACTCCCGTTCATCTCTAAGAGCATAAAGTATATAGAATCTATGCACTGGTATAATACGCCTCGGCAAGCCGAAGTTGCTCGGTTTGGATCCTGTTATAATACTATGAGTACTCTAATCTGGGTATTCCTTTAATATTCTGTCACATTGAGAGTTTTGTTCTGGTTCGCTATGTTTCTAACTGTGTGCGCATGTATGTGTGCACAGCTACGTGGGCTTGATAATTGATATTGTTGATATGATTGCGTTGTATGAGTTCAAGTACGAATATATATAATATAATATATATATAATATGGTATATGGATTATACTATATCTAATGTAAGTAAGCTGCTGTCTGCTGTCTGAGTACATTTTGTGCTGGGCTAAGTATTTTCGTAAAACTGATTTGTGTACAGTAAATCAACCATTTGTTCCATTGGAAAAGCTTAATTCATATGATAGCAACAAATTTTGTTGTTGTTCTGTGTGTACAGTGATCGCTCGCTTGAAAGACACATTTGAATTGACATGACATATGCTGATGAGTCGTCATACTATAACTCGAGCACGAGTCTATATATATTTACAATCGAATTACTTAAATATATGTATGTATATAATGAGTATTGTGTGAGCTTGACTATATGTATATATATGTATGTATATGACTCGATTAAAAAATCTATTAAAATATGAATCGCGAATTTCGGTGGCTGTTATTCATGTCGATTAAAATTAAATGAAATTTGAACTCTTCTTTTTTGTTTGTATTTTGTTATGCTTATGAAATACTGAACAACATAAAAATATAATCAAATAATTTGATTCGATTAAAAAGCGCAACATTTATTAAATAATTATCTAGTTCTAACAATAGCATTTTCATTAAAATTGAAAATTATATTTTCACTATAATGCACATCGTTTCCATTCATTTAAAATGTTGTAGTTGACCAAAAATGAGATTTACTCAATTCGATTTCGATTTCGAGTTCGAGTTCGATTTCGATTTCAGATGATTTGTGAATTAGTTTTTAGCTGAAGCCTAAGTTTGTTAAATCAAATAACGTATCTAAATGTAATTTCTAATTGTTCAATCAATATATAGATTTATATATATACGTATATATATATAGTATATATAGATAATGTATTCAATCATATTGACAACTTTAACTGATTATAGGAAAGAAGCCTAGAGCACGCTTAAATTTACATGTGTTGCACCAAGAGATTTCACATTAAGTTTCGTTCTACAATTTCTTTTAATAATTTATTATGTGTGTGTATGTGTATGTGTGTGTTTACATTTAAGTAACTATATATCAGTATATCAAATCTAACTCAATATTTAAGCTAATTTAACTAATTCCACTTACGTTCGCATACAAGATATATATAGTTATATATATATATACTTACAACTGTATAATTATAGCTTGCATATATTATATATTCCCGTTATTTACTTATGCTCTCATATAATTGATGTGTATTTTTGAAATACGACTTTCAGTTTAGCTTAGCCTAAACAAAGATTACTTTTGATTCTGCCAATGAGAGAGTGTGTGTGTGTTTGTGTGTATGTGGGGCTCTAGCCAAGCTTAGGTCTGCTGTATGGAGCTGAGGAATGCCGGATCCACAGATGCCACCTTGGCGGTGAGGAATGCGTGCATGCAAAAGAGCAAGCTCTGCAGTACCTGGCACTCTAGTTCCTAGATGCGATAATATGGCAAAGAATGAGATTTAGATTATACACATGTACATATAAGGTAAAGTTCTACAATGATTTGGGTTTGGCTAATTGAAGCGCTGTGTATTTATTTATAGCACTTGCCTTCGTTTCGATGGCCCGCGTCTCGTTGTCCTGGAAATGTAGCTTCAACTTGGATTTGCCATCGTCGCTGGAGCCGCGCAGTTGCGAAAACTTGTACTGCCACACCATGGTGGCATCGGCGCCCTCTGTCAGTGAGAAGCCCGCCTGCCAGTCAAGTGTCAGTCCGCCGCTCTTGCCGTGATGGGAAACGGCAAAAGTCTTGCGCTGCAGGTATGAGTGATAGACATAGTATATAGAAATAAATGTGAGATTTATTTATTAGCAGTATGTGGTTATGCGAGAGAAAGAGAGGGGAAGAGGAAGAGATAGAGAGAAAGAGAGAGAGAGAGAGTGACATTCCGACAGCTGCTTAGATTGAGTCTTCTAATAATATTAAGCATACGCCCCATCTCACACTCTCTCTCTGTGTGTGTGTGTGCGTGTGTGTGTGTGCTGACGCACTCCTAAGACCCATAATAGCCTCTGGCTATATCTGTAATAGCCACGGCAAAACAACGGCATACATAGGTTCAATAATCCCTTTATGTCCTGTCTGTGTGCTCGACTAAACGCTCAAAATTGCGAACCAAATTCGTATCGATTCGGACGTTGGCCAAAATCTACGTTTTTTGTCGCCCTCTTTTCTTTTTTTTTTGTTTTACTTCCAACTTTGTGCGTCGCTTATGTCGGTCATTGGCTTTGCGCTGACTTTTCGGAAAGCTAACAAGTGTTGCGTAGACACACACACACACAGACAGAAGCGAGTGTGTGGGTGTGTGTGTGTGTACTCGGGCAAAGTTACATTAAACAAAATATCACAAAACTTTTTGGCAAATGTTTGTTTGGGAGCGCACAGAAATTTGTTTTGTTCATTCCTTGGAAAATCAATACGACATCCTTTATAATTTCTGCTTAGCAAAAAGCAATTACAAAGCATTCATTATGAATGAGAATTTTTATGCTTGTAATTAAGAAAACTACCCGGCGTTGCCTCACTCAAAAGTCATAAGCTAAAATGCTTAGGGATAGCGTTAATTAATTATTAATTATGGAAAGGCTGGGGATTTCTATTAATTATAATGAAATATGAATATAAAATTAAGTA